GGTAGGCCGCTCTATGCCGCTCTATGTCGCATAGAAGAACACCTGGCTGACAAGCGTCTTAATCGACGGAACACCCCGATAGGGGCGCCTAGAGAACAGAAACACGACGGAGCAGATTTTGATATCGAAATCACCATCCTTGCGCAGGAACAAAAAACATCGGCGCGAAAAATTCTGGAAGCACTTAAGATTCACATCACCAATCCAATTTTAAACCGCAGGTAGAAATGCCTCGTTACCACTTGTGATTTGAATCAGTATATAAAACCGTTATTTGATGGTTAGGGTGCACTACGAGCTTATGTGATCGCCTTCCGGTGACCTCGACTTGAATCATTCAGTGGAACACATATAGAAAGCGATGAGTATGCCGAGAGTTGATTTTGTACTTGATGCGATTGAAATCTAGGTCTGGTGTTTTTTTCTAAGGGAGTGATGGAGATGTTTGGCTGATTGAATTGGGAACAATTTGACCTTTCCAGGCTCTGAAGATGGCGAATTGCCGAAACGTTAGCTGTTAAATAAAGATTAATGTAATACCTCGTGTTTGGCTTTATGAAGATTATCAGAAAATATATTGAAGCATGCCGAGCCTAACAAACAGTCGGTCTTGGTAATATTTTAGTTTCAAATTTTTTGATACTCACGAAATATTGTCATGTGCTCATTAAGGAAGCTCTGGCTGTCCAGAACTTCGAAGAATCTTTCTGTTTTGACTAAATGAAGAGCCTGTTCATTTAATGAAAGTGAGTTGGAGCCCTCGAATTGTCGCAAAGCTTAAATGAGTCTTGTTAGCGTGTGGATGTAGTCTACATTACGAAGCCCTTTCCGAAACGTGATTGTACACATGACTGTCCATTGTGGAATCCAGGTCCTATCAAACCTCATGGAGTAACAAGCATGAAGAATTTATAGACGGACCGCAAGGAGATTGGGCGATAGTTGACGCTATCATGAAGGTCTCTTTTTTTGAACATAAGCACCGTTTTGCTGGTCTTCTGCTGATAGAAACTTTGTATTCTAACAGGTAACGTGTGAAGAGCCAGACCACTGTGCTGATGAGAGCTGACGGGCAGTTCTTCAGGTGTTCAACTCAAATCCTATCTCGACCAGATGTTGTTCAATTGTTACTGACTCGACACCGCTGGAGGCCACCGCGAATCTATGTAAAGGCCGGGAATGCATTCAATTACCTCAAGGAAGTTAAATTGAAAGCGAATGCATGGCTCATCTCTCAGGGATTGATCAACGCCGAGAGCTTTCTCCTTTTGTCCTTATGTATATATATGTATATGTACATGTATATATATATATATATATATATATATATATATATATATATATATATATATATATATAGTTTGTACAAAAACCATTATCAAACATAATGTAACTATATGTCCTTGGCTAAGAACGATTCAAGTTTAATATAGAGATAGCCAAAAATAAAGTGTGGAACACGAAATGCGCTTCAACGACAACCAACGGACAAGATCCGTTTCTGAGTGGATTCCTCGGGAAATCAAACGCTCTACAGGAAGATCACCGACCCGATGGTCCAATTTTCCCACAGAATGCCTAGAAAAAAAGATATAATGCTCAGAGAATCTCTAGTGAGAGGAGGACTCACTGATCTACTCTTCTCGCGATAGAGAAAAATTGAAGTATCGCCGGTGGCTGCTTGAGTCACTCGACGATCAAAGGGAAGACAGGCATTTTAGATAGCCAATATCTGTCAGCGTGACCGGATTGAAAGCTAATATCGGCTTGCTAAGTCAAACCTTTGATAGTTGATTTCTGGCAGACCGATGTGTGTCGCAAAAAGATGGTGGTAGAACAAGAGTGTTCGTAGTGCAATTGTCAGCGCGCTCCCCAAAAGCGAACTGGGGATTCGGATCACTCCTAACGTTCAGAGTTTTGCATGCCATTCAACACTATCAGTATCAATCAATTTCATATTGAAGCCACATTTTAGAGTCAGCATGACTTTGTGCTATTGCGAAGAGATTTTATGCAATGGAAAGGGCTCTTTAAAGATTTCCAGACCTAGACGTGCGGAATAACCAAACGTCCGGGCCGAAGTCATAGCTCATCGGCTAGTCTGTTCTTTTCAACATATCTTGCAAAAATCATTTTATTTGACCGAAAATTGCGATGTTATGATGTTACAATAAACCCAATAATGTACAGTGGCTTACAAAAACGTTTGCGTCAGCTGGGAGTCGAACCCAAATCTCACTTTTTCCGAGAGCGCGTGCTGAATTTTTGCACTACCGATTCTCGTTTTGCAGATGGCCAACGCGTTGTAGCCTAGAAAGAGAGGTGAGCAAAATGAGCGAAGGTAGTGCAACGGGTCAGCACGCGCTTGGAAAGATTAAAATCTGGGTTGGACTCCCAGCTAACGCAACGTTTTGTACACCACTCTACATCATATCTTGTAAAGCTGATTTTATCTCAAGTTTTGAATTAGAACAAATTACAAATGTAGGTTGACTTTGGAAATCATATTCTCATTAGAATAGAATACCAATGTTCTCTCACGCAGTCATTATCAATCTTTACCACTTCAGTTTTGATTGATAGTTTCACACTATCACTAAAACCTACTAACGGAAATCTGAAATTGATTTTCTCTTCTATCAACCTGGGAGCTGATCAGTACTAGGCTAGACATTTGTGCTGATAGGTTTCTGCATAGCTGAAGAACTGCGAAATCATGGAAATGCAACATATCCTGCACTCAGGTGCTATACGGTGTTAATCCATCTTTTCATTATGACTAATTTGCTTGTGAATTTCAACTCCGATTGTCATGCTTTCTCTATTTTTGTCTTAGCGATCATCATATTCTCATTATGACTGATAACTTCATGGTTGTTGAGCCGTCCTTTAGCATTTGAGTACGCTCTTTCAGTCAATTTCTATGTTTTACATCTATGCTGCCATCGTGTGAGACATTTTCCATAATAAGTCTAAGAAACTGCAAAGGAATAGTAGGTAGATTTCTCTAATGACCACTCAACCTTGTTTAGAGCTCTATGTATGGCTACGAGGTAACGTTTAGCGGCGTTGATTATCGGATTGTGTACTGCGATGGATTCCGTACTGTCTTGACGACTCACTAAAATATTAATTTCTATGTGAATCACTGCTCTTTGACAGTGGATTTTTAAGAGCAGGTCAAACAATAAGCGATGTTAAGTTTTATCTAATTCTTTAGAGTGATTTGCCACTGCATTAATTAATACCAGATGGTTCTGTGCTATTGTAAAAAAAAAATTCGAAAAGCAGCTGTAATATGCTTTAACCAGCGTAATGGTGACTGCAGTTGAATATTACGGTTGATGCTGCCAGCAGTTACGTAAAGGGAAAAGCTTGTCACGGCTTAAAAATAATGTCAAATCCTTCGTTGCGAAATACGCAGCGTCCTTGAAAAAAGACTTTGGAAGGCCAACCAATCACGCCCTAGGAAGAGCAACACATGGGCACTATGGTTAGCCTTAGGCTAGGAATTCAGAATGTGCGCAGTGTGTCGCAAAACCTCCTTACCAGGCCAACTTAAGCAAGGTATTTGCATGTTCTTTATGATTGCATATGGTTTTAAGGTGTCTAATTTTCCTCTTACTTTTGCGTGAATATGATCTTCGATTGCACTATGTATAAAAAGCGGTAACAAGAATAATAAAGCCTAATTTTATTGTGCTTACCTTTGTGTTGTCTTGTTTACTAAGAGAGAGTAGACAGCTAATTTCTTCCTGTACAGAACGTAAGAATAAGAACAATACAACTGGACACTAGGTTTTAGTTTATATATTCATTATTGACAGCAGTGTGTCTGTTATCAAAAAGATTGATTAGATCGACCAAATATAGGATATGTGGAAAGACTTTGGAGCTGCTATTTCATGAGAAGAAAACATGTCAGTGAAGGTTTACAATCACAAGCAGAACATGAAATTGATGAACTTTTGGTGTTCACGATGTGCCTTTTACTTGCATTGTTCATTCAAAACTATTGTTGTAGATAAAGTCGACCATACTCCTAAGTAAATCACCATTCTCCAAAAATATTCCATGTTTTGAATGCATTCTAATCAACTATGCGCGTAGTCTTATCCCAAGAATATTGCCAGAAGCGAACGTAAAACGACGTCTCAGCGACACTCAGCGACTTCACTCACGAGGACTGCACGACTCCGCCTCAGCAGAGTATAATCAGCGATCTTCATCGCCGGACGAATCGCGCTTCGACGCTCGTCTGAGAGTTTGCCGCCTCCGTCAAAAGGAACGCTCCTCAATCACACTAACACCCAATGTCAACAAGTCGACTCTGAACAAAGTTAAAGACGCTTTTTAACCCAGTCATATCACATCAATAACACTTAACCCAGCTGTACTATAACAGGAGCCATCCGATCTGCTGTGTTACAGCAAACGCCATCAAACCCGACCGTATTTGGCCTTACCACATCATTGCTACGCACTACTTACCTATTCCACCAATTCCCGTTCATCCAGGCGATGTTAAGGCAATGATGGGAGATGGAGGCTACATGTAGCCAACACAAGAAATGTGGAGAATAAACTGTATGTTTGTTAGCACAATTCCACCATCACACCATGCAAGATGAATGACATATTAAAACGGAATTCTGATAACTCGTCAAGAATAAAACGCTGATTGAGAGGATTCAGATCAATGTCCGTCATCTTATTAATGCGAGAAAAATTATAACGCATGAGAAAACCATATAGGAACAATCCCACCAACTGCCAGCGCATGCGAGCTTCAATTCTACTGTCTTCGCAACCTCGCAAAGTGAAATAACATTGGCGATTATTCACGCACAGTCTCGGTCCTCTAATTGGTTGTAAGACTTTTCTCAAAATCTTGTAGTATCCAATACCCCGAAAATCTCGTGTTTTTAGTGCTTTCTTCTCTTCGCAGTGTCACGATGTCACATATATTCCTAAGAGATTTGAGTGGTGGGCAAAAACACGGCCTCGGACGGAAATCGAACCCGCATTTCATCCTATCCGGGGATACGTATTTTACCACTACACCACCGGGACAAATTTACCCGACCACTCATTCTTCAAAATCTCTATGTTAGCCAGGTACAGCACGCGTCCCAGGATAGGATGAAACGCGGGTTTGAATCCCGTCTGAGGCTGTGTTTTTTGTCCACCACTCAATTCTCTTGAAAATTTTAGCCTCTTTTTTTTCTGGAAGCCACCACTCGTTTCCCAGTGATTGAATTTTGGAATTATGTCTACTTCAAACAATATTTGGTGTTAATGCGCCCCTGATTTATATTGTTATTGACATATGATTACTATCCTAATAAGTGTATGTTTCAGGCTTATATTTACTGGTGTTTATTTTGCTACTACTCTTAAAAAGGACTGCTTTATCTTTGCTCTCAGTCAAGGAGATAGGTCCCGCGTAGCATTGCCGATCAGCTCACCACACAGGCGTTATTGACCAGTCTATCTAGCATTCAACGTGCAATTCAGCAGTGCCCATAATCATTCAACAAGAGATAAGCTAAGCAGATATCACCTCTTAAACTTCCACCACAGAGTCCTTTCGTTACACGGTGCCGAGAGCGTCATTTATTCACATTCAACGAGCCACCAAGTCGTCAGTTCGCACATAGTGAGAAAACCCCTTCTTCATTATGCGACGCTCATTTTCGTTACATGCTCATTAACCACTCATCATTTGTAATTGTTGTTATATACTCATTATTCACTGCCACCATTTCTCGTTCTCGTTGTTATTTACCATTTCTTTGACAATGCTGCTATGTATATAAATGCTTTACTACCCAACATCGAGGTACCTTAGAATAATAGTCCCCTTCAAAGTGCATCTTCATCAACTACAATCACCACTGAACCGCTGCAATATGAGTAAACTTTTGAAATGCAAAAAAGGAGGAGCTCTTAAGCACTTTATTTGATCTACACTTTGCAAGTAAATTTCGGAGCAAACTGATAAAAATGTCCGTGCCGTTGTATTAACTTTTTGACGCCTTTCTTCCACATATTGGTTTCTGAAATCGATGTAGTGAATTAGCATGTGAGTTAAGTCAATGAAGGAACGAGGAGAAGATTATCGCAAAATTTATTTGTTAAAAACGGACGAAAGAGTACGTCTAAGTTTGAGTGAACATGCTTTACTCGTTCAATAATCAGAAAAAAGAAATTCTACTCCCAAATGCATATTTGAATTTCGAAAGGTTTTGGATTTTTCTGTACTTTCGGTTATGAGGGGACATATGAAAATTCAAATTTATCTGCTAGACAGGAATTTTTCATAGGAGTGTTGACAATCTTTTGAAAGCTTAGATTTTGGCTACAGCCCTTTGTCGCCCCGATTTCAAAAGAGCTTTTTTGACACTGTTACAAGGGAATTCATTGCGTTACAGAGCTCTTTCTTTGGACTATCAGTAATCTCGATAGCGTATTGTTTGCTGATTTTAACGCTGTATTTATATCCGGAGAAGACCGTTTCTCTACAACGGGGCAGACAAAATAAGTCGAATTCACATGCGAGACCAAGGTAGCTTTTGGCCTGTTCACGTGCCGCCGGGTATGGCAGCGCTTGCGCTGACGCGATGTCGTAAGACCGGTTCGATCATCGCGCCAGCGCAAGTGATCGCCTTACTCAGCGGGGCGTGAACTGACGAAGGACACCGCAGTCGCACATGCAAGTTCAACTTATTTTATCTGTTGCGTTGCAGAGAAACGACTTTTTTAGGAAATATCACGGCACTGGAATCAGCAAACATGATGCTACCGAAATATTGATAGTCCAACGAAAGAGCTCTGTTTGGCAAGAAATATTCGCGTCTGAGGCTAGTTTTAATTCAAAGTTTGATGCGACAAAAAAGTGTGTTTTGAAAAACTTTAGATATGAGACTATAGCCAGAATTCTTAGTTTTCGAATTACGACTAGCACTCCGATGAAAAGTTTGTGTCTAGTGAATGAGGTTTACTTTCCAATTGACCCCTTATAAACCGAAAAATAGCGATTTTTCATTACTTGATATGTAGTTTTGAAAATCTGCTAAATCGACTCCAGAGCCATTCAGTGGTTTGTTTAGAAGGACGATAATTTCCAAAGCACAGTGGTATCCACATGTGAATACCGCGACTGAATGGTGGAAGAGCACTGCAGCTTCACAATAATCGGGGAAGCTGTTCACGTAGAGAAAATTTGAGCTTCAAGTAATGAAGATATAAGTGAAAAGCTTTGAAAACTATCTTACCTTCGGCAAATTACCAGTGACGATTTTACTGCTATTTAGAACGTCCCAACGCGCTCCATTTCATCGACGCGATTTTAAGTGATCCAGCTTAGGCTCGAAATTGGTAACCACAACTGAGCAGCCTATTTGTCTACCGTATCCTCGCAGCCCAGCTGATATTTTCCATTCCTTTCTTCCTCTCGCAAAAGTTGTCCGTGGGGGTGATTTCATTCGAGCATGGCAGCTGGCGCGAGTTTCATACCGAGATCTGTAAAATATTGGCAGCTGCAAGTACAACTGATTAATCTTCTTACAAACACGCGTTCGCCCAGCGTGTGTGCGGTCGCCCTCGGAGTCGGTTATAACTACGTGGAGTCCACTCTATAATTCGTTTTGTCTATCTGTCGTCTGATCTTCTTACTGTAAGACCAGTCCATCCATGTTTCGCTATCGATGTGAATTTCTCTAGATCAAAATGATGAGACAAGTTCCGGAGATTTCAGCTGAGCAAACTGGCTAGATGTTATAAGTGCCGATTAAATCTCAGAAGACATTGTTCGAGCGTTCTGTGAGTTCTTCGTAGTAGTGTTGGCGTGGTCGAGGTAACAGCCCATGTCTTTGCCGCATAACAGAAACGTAACATAATACATGACATGCATTACGAGTGGTTTTGAAAACAAATGCAAGTAGAGAAAGCCGATGGATATGAAAAGGAGTTGATGCATAAATGAAAATTACTGCGTGTTTCTCGCTTGACCGTCAACGAGTATGTTGTGCAAATTTTGGGATAATTACAACGGAAAATTATCTCGAAGTTGTTTTCTTCGCATGCTCCTTTCGAACGAGTAAGATCTCTGAATCAATCAAGATATGGCAAGTGTCACTAGTCATAGATTTGATTATCAAGCTATCAAAGAATTATTATGTTTCGCTCTTACGCATTTTCATGAGTTTCTTCTTTCTTATTGCTCCTTCTCTTCTCATTTTTCCATGTTATGTTCCACATTGCCATACTCAGGTTTGTATCCACTTGTTTTCAAACTCCTCGTGTCTTCAGAGCTGCGGACTACCATTTAGGTAGCGTTTATTTACTTCTAGAGATTGCTGTAGCTTCTCGTCAAGACAAAGTAAAGTTGATTTTTGCGTTTCTTGTAGTGGGATGCAATCTTAGTACCTTTGTACTTAGTGTGAACCCTGCCATCACTTTCATCATGCATATTCTCACATCTTGACACCAGCATGGCGAGGACAATCACCGTCGACTCGGATCGATCCGGCTCTAGAGAGGACGAAGACGTTGAAACGAAGTCCGAATAAATTTTCTCGACACCAGCTTCTTCTAAGCTTAGCTATCAAGAACACCTGATCGAATATTCTGATACATTCACTTTCGACTGTTTATATAGACCTCGCTCAAAATTATAATATTCTGATAATCTAATAACATATGTGAATAAAAGGCACCCTGCTTCTGATGAGCCTATGATGGCAAAACACGCGTCTAGCACTGTGTAAGTGCTACATCAGACCTCACAAAAGGCTCAAAATATGTTATCAGATAAGCAGAATATTTCAATCCTTTCAAAGGTCTGATATGGCATCTTTAGTCCTGGCATGCGTATCGGTGTTCTTGCACACTTCATCAGTGGCACATGTTTTTCGATTCACTCCTATAACTGTAGTGGCGACGAGGATATATTGCTGAACTTTGAATGTTTGCGAGAACACTAAAACGCACTTCTAGCATTAGTGATGTCATACCAGACCTCTGGGAGCTTTAGATTATTTTGTATGATTGTATAGAATTCTGAGTAAGGTCTCAAAGACAGTCAATTAGAAAATTATCTAGAATACCGTTTCTACAACTGTTTCGCTAAGTGCTTGCTTTCTACTTGAACTATGCTTAATTAGTTTGCTGATTTGTTTCACATCAATGTTTTGAACATAGAAAGTGGCGTTGGAAGTTTTAAATCGTTCACGACACGTGTTTCAACAAAATAAATAGTAATTTAACATTAAGCTCTTTATCACACTTCATTTTTGTGCATTCAATCACAGGATTGTGAATTCATTCTACAAAGTACTTCGCTGCTGGTGGCATTGTAAGTGGAGTTGTCGGTAAGGATTAAAAGAGCAAGCAATTGTAGCCCTGTGATAGATGTTGGTGAACAATGATTGCTAATATCAGATTATGTGAAGTCAGTTGAGGTCACGACAGAATTAAAAGCCTTGTCAATGACTGTATATGAAGTTGAAGACTTAAAATTGCACATCGGTTTGCAGAAAGATGCAATTACAAACGTAGGAGTTTCAAGCCTCTCAGAATACACTGTGATCGTGCCACAAGACTCAAATACTCTAATCACCAGTCATCCCCTGATCGTTTATAGGAGAAAATAGCTATAAATAGGACGAACTAGAGTGTTAATAATAATAGTGCTAGGAGTCGATCAATCCTTCAGTGATTTTTATTGAATTGATGGTATTACAATGTGTACAAAAAATATAGACGAAAATAGTGTCATCTTAGAGTTTAAACCAACAAATACTTCAAGTCTTATTGGGTCTTACTATTAAGAATAAAGAGAGATAAAATATACACATACTTGTTCACAAGGTGCAAGTTATCTAAGTCTATTGAGTTAAGAATCTGTTTACGTAAACCCACGACGTAAAATTCTTTTACTTTTTGCATCAACGCTCGTATTTCGAACAAAAGACATTCCTCCCGGGAAAAAGCGGCTGTGTTCTCTGATGTGTACTTGATGTTTAACTCCTGCTTTTGCTTTGAAAAATTTGAACTTCCTTCTCAAATCT